CCATGGAGAAGGGGAATGGTGGTGATGGTGATTGGGTGTTACAACACTCAGAAGTAGAGGGAACCAAAATTTATTAGCCAGCTGTGACCCAGAAGAGTTGTATACCTCAAAATCTGGGCCACAAATACTGGCCAGGGAAGATTTCACATGATAGTTCAAACTGGGTTGGGCTAAGTCGGAGTTGAGGAAAGCAGAATTTTATAAAAGCTGAATCTAAAGGTGTTATATCCTGAGGTGGGCAGTGTTACAGAGACAGAAGTTAACTGGAGCATCCTGTGGATATAAGACAAGCTCAGAACATTATCTGTTGGAAGGGCTTGTGGGGCCTTGCACCTAGACGCAGGAGAGGGGCCTTGTGAAAACATGGGTCAGGGACTTAAGGTCTTGACTTTCCTTATTAGTGGTAATGATTTAGTGATAGTGGTGGTGGTGGTGGTGGTGATGTTACTGATGGTGGTGGTGGTGGTGGTGGTGGTGATGGTGGTGGTGGTGGTGTTGATGTTAGTGATGGTGATGGTGGTGGTGGTGGTGGTAGTGGCTGTGGTGATGTTAATGGTGGTGGTGGTGTTGATGGTGGTGGTGGTGGTGGTGGTGGTAGTGGTGATGTTAGTGATGGTGGTGACAATGATGGTAGTAATGGAGGTGGTGGTGGAACAATTAACTCTGTACACACAAAGATCGTCATTTCACAAAGATCAAAAATGAAGTCATAGACAAAAGGAAGCAGTTAGGAGATAATTTATTGGAAATAATAAGAGAAAGCACCCTGCTACCAGGAGAGTATTCCAAATGGAAGTTCAAACTGTCTTCTTCATTCTCCTCTTATATGAATCAGCAGACCATAGGAAAAAGTCAGTAATTCTTCTCAATTCAAAGAAAACTAATTATTTTGCATTACAAATATTCCTCCAAGTCCAGTCTGGAAGTAGGAAGGGCCTGCCAACTAACTGAGCATACTCTGCAGCATAACCCTACTCCCGGGCAGAGGGCCCCCCCCCCCTCCATTCCTACTTACCCTAGCATGCTCCACAGAAGAATCTTCGTTCTGAGTTTTTTTATTTTTAAGCTTAACCAGCTACATAATTTGAGTTAGCTTTGCACTTGGTAAGTGCTATTTGCTTCTATCTGACTCTCTCATCCCTGACTGCTTACTTAGATGCTAACTTAACTAAACTATTACAGTAATGTTTGTCTGCTGGTTTGTTTTCTAAAGAGGCCAAACAGCTTCTTGGAAATATTATGACCTTGGCTTTTTATAGCTCTGAGGATAACACACTTGTGATCTTGAGACAACTTTGCTTCTTAAAATTACATTTGTTAAAACAATTATGGGAGAAGCCCATATTTGTTAAAATTATAACTTTACAGTTATAAGTTGACTTTACCCACAAATCTAGATGGTAATCAACTCACTACAGCATTACTGACCTAACTCTAGTTAATTCAATCTCTAGCGAAGGACTTTCTAAATTTTCCTAGAGTCAGTAAATTAGCTCATAGCACAATTTCCACTGTGAAAATGTGTTAGTAATAGAATAGGAGGACTGTGGGAGATTAACATGAAAACTGCTACAGTCTCCATTTGTTTGTTCCTTATGTCTCACGTGGGTGCAGAGGTGGTGAGCTCCCAAGATGGAGAAGAGGTGTTTAAGCCTGGTGTAGTCAATGCCCAGGCCCTGGAGCAGAGGGACAGCCAAGTATAAGAAGCCAGTGTCCAGGCTGCTTATCCCTGGAAAAGAACCCAAATCCCAGAGCTGCATGGGCTGCAGTACAGAGAAGGGCAGATCCAAGTTGCGTGCTTGAGGTTTCAGTCTGACGTGGCGGTGGGGAGGACCACAGTGAGCTGCTCTGTAACTGTATTTTGGGACATGTTGAGTGAAAAGAGGAACCTAGCCTGCTAATGTAGGGCTGAGGACAGTGGAGCAGCTGTAAGAGTGGTGTGGTTCCACAAGGATGCTAGTGTGACTGTCCCCAAGGCACCCTGAGAGCATCAGAGGTGTCCTTCAGGATGGTAATGTAAGTAATGCAGGTAGGACTGGGGAAAATGGGCCTTGCAAGTCACCCGAGGGATTAGGAGTCCCTGGGCCATGGGGGGGGGGAAGATCCGTAGTCCCAGAATCTGCCTCCCAAGGGCAAGCCCAGAATTCCTTCCCTGTGAGGTTTCCGTGACTCTGTACACTCACAGTCATCACGTAGGGAACATCCACCCTGTTCACTGCTGTAGGTGACTCTCAGAGCGTTGTTCCCAAAACGCCCAGAAAGGAGGGAGTGAATAATTAATGTGGCTGCCAAGGGAACAGGAGCCTGGCCAGCTAAAGCCAGTCACTGATGACCTTCAAGGGTCCTGCCAGACATGGCCAGGGAAGCAGCATCCCATGCAGGACTCTGAACACATGATGGTGGGATTTAAGCATGCTCCAAGCCACCCAACACTCTCCACCGGGCTCACAGGCCTTGCTGCGTGTTGGAGCTGTCGAAGGGAGCAAACACTTTATGGGAAGGCTGGGTCTCAAGAGCTTCCTGTGCCACTAACCGAATGTGTCAGAGAATTACAGCTTCCCCTTAGGAATAAAGGACACCAGCATTAGGTTATGCTGCCATCCCTTACAGCTATGATTTAGCAGAGAGAGATATTTAACATACCAAAAGGAAAGTGTTCCAAGCCCCAGGAGAGCCCAAAACCACGGTCTGCGCCAGCACTGCACTGCTGTTTTCACCTGGACAAGCCTGTCAGGCCATTTGTTCTGAAAGATGTCCCTCAATTTGGGTTGATGTTTTCTCAAGATTTGAAGGCCAGGGCTGGGGAGATGGCTCAGTAGAATAAGCGCTTCCCTGGCAAGCGCAAGGGTCTGAGTTCAGTCCCTGGTTCCACCAAAAAAAAAAAAAAAAAAAAATGAAGGCCAAATTCTGTGTAGTGGGCAGGAATACACAGCAACAATTGCTATATATCGTTGTATGCTGCATCAGAGAAGCAAAAACGCCCGCTTGATGAACAATCGGGGATGTTTATGTTGGTCAGTCAGTTAAGATGTGTGTGCCAGCTTTCTCCACTCCAGAGCTAACAAATGTCTTCAGGCAGTGCTTGGACATTGTCTGTGTCCTCTTCCTCCTCCCCAACTCGTCTCAGCACACGTTGGTGATGCTTACCAGAAACTATTCAAACTATGCGGGGTGCCAAATGGTGCGCTGCTAATTCCACTGTCCCTTGAGCTCCGCATAGTTGGTGCTGTGCTGTCAGGAGGAGCCTCTGGGCTCATTCACCTCACTGAACTCACGGATTCTTATTCGATTATGTGCTTCATAATTGGTTTGATCATTACGTATTTTAATTCTCAAATAGTCCCAGTGTTGGCCAGTAGGAAAGCCTTCCAACTGAGCTTTCACTATAGCTCAGTGGTTCCTCCGTGTCCCCATCTACCGTCCAGCATCTCCTTTCTTTCTGATATGGGAATTTGTCCAGCCACAGGAATTAGCTGTTTCGTCAAGAAGCCCTAATTCCTTTTACCAAAATGTACTTAGAAACCAAGATCTGGAAGCTGCATACTAAGTATGCTCACACTCTGTGTATGTGTGTGTGTGTGTGTGTGTGTGTGTGTGTATGTGTGCGCACGCGCATGTGTTCTCATTTAAAACAAAAGTTTATTTAGGTTCATTTTATTTATAATCAATTTTAGGCTTTTCTCTGATTTTCTATATTTATATTTTGAATACATGAAATATTATTTTAAATGTCAAAACTATAGAAAATGTTATTCCCCTTATCTCCCTTCTATCCTGTTTCTTTTCTTTCTTTCTTTCTTTCTTTCTTTCTTTCTTTCTTTCTTTCTTTCTTTTTTTTTTTTTTTTGAGACAGAGTCATGCTATGTAGTCCAGGCTGCCCTTGAACTCATGGCAATCCTCCTGCCTCAGCCTCCCTGGGATTACAGGTGTGCACCACCAGGGCTGGCTTCTATCCTATTCCTATCCCACAATCCTTTTTACCCTGTTCCCTGCCACCATGGCTACTTTTGTAGCCAATCTTAGTTTCTAGTTTATCTTTCTTACACTTTATTTTGTAGAAATGGAGAAGCATGCATATTTTCTCTTTATTTCCTAATGAAAACATACATAGTACAGATGTTGTTTTTCTTTCTGCCTAACAAAATATACTGAAAATCACTCTGAACCATCAATGTAAGAGAAATAGGATTTAAATATACTTCTAGTTGCATTTATCTGAGAATGAATTTAAATATCTTTTCATATATCTAAGGTTGTGACTTTTGTCTACTTGGTGCATACCTTTTTAAGACTTTGTTAACAATAACATTTTTAATTTAATTTACAAGGCAGATGCTGGAAGTTATAGACTTGCTTAACATTTACTCTGTCCCTTAATTTTTTTCATAATAAAACAGTATTGGGCTGAGGACATAGCTCAGTGGCACAGCACCTGACTGCGGAGCTAAAGTTCCTAAGTTCAATTCCTAGTACATAATGAAATAGTATCGTGACCATGCTTTAATTCTTGTATAAGTATTCCCTGTGAAATTTTTACCAGACCATATACTTATGACTTTTAAAGCTCATTTTGAAATGCCTCAGTCAATTTGATTCTGTGATGAATTGCTGATGTCTTTCCTGCCGTGTGCCTGAGGAAAACCAGAAGATTCCCAGATTCATTCTAGAATCCCTGTGATGAGGGGCTAAGGAGAAGGTGGCTCTCTGCAGGTGAAGCCTCTTCCCTCTTCAACACAGAGCCCCCTCTGCCAGCCGCTGAACCTGCACCAAAGATGGGCTGCTCTGGACATTTCTTAACCCAACAACTGGAGACAGAGAGGTTCATCATGTGAATAGCCACAGGATTCCCAGATGTTAATTTTCATCTTCAGTCCTTGTTTTATTCCTTCATAAGAGATAACTCCCCTTTTCCCCATGTTCATGGCTAGCAGGGGAAAATAGGTGAGATCCAGTCATTAAGTGTTACAGCCTACTTAGAGGAAGTCAGAAAGACCTAGATTTTGCCGGCCTTGTCTGCACACCGCTCTTGCAGAGCTGAGGTAGGTGAGGTACTACCTCTCCTCTCTAGCATCTCTGGTATGGGAGAAATTGGTCATCAAAACACAACTGCTATAGGGCATGGAAGGAAAACTCCATTACAGCTGCTTATCTGTTTGCTGTACTTCTCTGGACAGTCCCAAAGGAGGAGGAATTAGTGCCACTGCTGTGGACCATGAGGCCACACAAGGAGCAGCGCCCACAGCCTGGGTCCTCTCTGAGCAGGTGAGCCAGGAAAGAGGTCTGGGGCAGGTGGCCATAGTAGCTGTCAGGAAGGAAGGCTAACCAGAGCTGACAGAAGCCAAAGATAAACTTTCATGTTCACTCTATCCCACAGAGCTGCTTGACACTGCTAGTTCAAGGACTTTCCAAGAGTGGCATTGATGTATATCACGATCTTCCAAAGGAAGTGTGGAAGATGCATCAGATGTCTGCTCCTCCTCGCAGTGGCATGGACAGCCGGACACATGCCAGGATTCCCATCCCCTGCATGGTACACTGACATCACAGTGAAAACGTGCACTCACCTTCACCCTGCACCCTCTCCACTTGGAGAAGTGCCAGGCAGGAGCTACTCCAGCTGCAAGAACCAGTGTCCCCCACCCAGGCTTCCCCATCCTCACAGCGCCTTGGGCTGGCCCCAGCCTCCAACGGTGAACTGTATGTCCCACACTTGCGCTGTGCAGGTCCGCAGCACAAGCCCATAGGCACCGGAGGGCTCCCTCCTAGTCTCCAGACACCGCTGTGTGTCCCTGTTGATGACCGCACCTCCCTAGATGGGAAGAGAGACAGAGTCAGGGTGCTGAAATATCTCCTGGAATTCGTTCTGTCTTTCCTCATGGAGACTTAACCAACATTCAGCAGGAAACTTATTGGCATCAGTGCAGTACCAGAGTCAGGACTGACTCTTCATTCCCCACATGCAAACCACATGGCTTTGGGCAGATTACCTAACCTCTCCAAGACTCAATTTCCTCTTCCATGAAATGAGTTTAGAATTAATTTGAAGTTTCACATACAAGTTTACTACTCAGTACCTCTGAAAAAGAAGGAAGAAGAAGAAGAAGAGAAAATAAAAGTAAAATTGGGGTTAATATTATTTGAGAATCTTGTGGCTAACACATGGAAGAGGTGTGAGAAATCTGAGGTTGACTCTGCAATTACCCTTTTCATGGGGCAGAGGAGGAAGGGGCTTTCTTGTTTGTTCCATGTGCTCCTCCAGCCCTCTGAGCTCCTTCCTGTACCTTTGGCTCAGAATCGTGCCATCAGTCCAAGTCACCATCTTTCTGGAGCCTGGCCACTGCTCCCAGCACACCACTCTGCATGTCTTCTCAAAATGTCCCTTAGGGTTCAAGCCAAGGTTGACCTTTTTCCTGCCCACCCTCTGAGTTCACAAGGCTTACTGTGAGGTCCAGTGAGAACCCCTGGACATGCTTGGCATATGACCACAAAGGTCTTTAGCACTCTGATCTCCAGGTCTCTCTCCCCTCCATCCAGAACCTCCCTGCTTCTCATCTCTTCTTAGATGCAAAGTAAACTCCTATAAATTCAGCTGCCCAGGACTTCGTGAATCCCCATTCCTGCCTCCTCTGGGCACCCCTGCAAGTCCTAGGGCATTTCCTCTGCCACCTCACAGCACACTTCTCTCAGCTGCCACTTCCAACCACAGAGGTCTTGGCAGGGAACCCAGCTGAGCATGTGTTGCTCAATGACTCTCACTGCCGCCTGGCCACAGGACTGGGCATGCTGTCCTGCTAGGTCTCCACAGCATGCCTTGTCCCTCCATCCCAGCCCTGAACAGTCTCCCTGAAGGCCAACAAATCACACTTCTACCCCCTCTGTACTTCTTTCTGAAAGCCAGCCACACCTGCAGCTCCATAGTGACCTCAAAGGAGGCCCTTGTGCTGCAGGCCCTCTGTGCTCTGAGCCCAGCTGCCTGGGACATAAGAACCTTCCTCTGGCCAACAACTTTTCTTTACAGGTTCCTTTCTATGGCTGTTGAGTATATCCAAATGTCATAATATTGTATGGAGAAAAAAGAAACCAAAGATTAATCCTCCATTCTTTTCAATCAACATTGAGTGCCCACCCTCCCATTTCTGAATCAGATTCCCAAGCAAGGAGACAATAACCCACCATAGTTAAGACTTTGCCTTGCAATTCTGGACAATTGCTGCACTGTGTGAATGGGAAAATTATTTGACTCCTCTGGGCTTTCATTCCTTTATAGATGAAGCAGAGCTGACACTTAACTCAATAGCTGTCATATGTTCATAACTCTTGGCTGTTGTAATTTATGATGGCTTCTTAGAAAAAAAGTAATGTCTTATTTTCTATTTTCTCCCAGTATCCATTTCACAAAAGTCCTTAATATTGGCTGATATGTGCTTTTTTGTAACCTAGAAAACATATCTTTAGAAATTAGCGATGCAAGGGCTGGGGAGATGGCTCAGTAGAATAAGCGCTTCCCTGGCAAGTGCAAGGGCCTGAGTTCAATTCCTGGTTCCAGGGGGAAAAAAATCCTTAAAAAGAAATTAGCAAGATCCAGTCCTAGCCCAAGCCCGGTGTGTGGGAGAGCTTCTAGCTATCATGTGCCAGTGGGACCTGCTGATCCCAGCCCAGGTACAGCTTGGGTAAGACCTTCTTCCACCCCCTTGGGATGCCCCCCACCATTCCACAGCACCTCCCCTACCCCGCCCACCAAGGAGGAATTTCTCCCTCATTCCTGGAATCCCCAGACCCAGTTCTACCCCAGGCACAGTGAATGTATAGGAGAGCTTCCTGCTACCCTGCGCCTGCAGGACCTACTGGTCCCAGCCCAGGTGCAGTGTGGGTAAGACCCTGTTCCACCTCCTTGGGATGCCCCACACCACTCCGCAGCACCTCCCATACACAGCCTGCCCAGTAGGAATTTCTGCCGTGTTCTGGGAACCCACAGATCCAGTCCTAGCCCAGGCCCGGGGAGTGTGTGAGAGAGCTTCTGGCTATCCTGTACTGGTGTGACATACTACCAGGCGCAGCATGAGTGACACCCTCTTTCACTCTCTTGGGATGCCCCCCATCACCCCGTAGTGCCCCCCACACGCTGCTCACAAAGTAGGAATTTCTGCCTTCTTCCGGGAAGCCCCAGATCCAGTCCTAGTCCAAGCCCAATGAGTGTGTGGGAGAGCTACCTCTCCCCCCTACTCCACCTTGTCCACTACAGACTCAGCTCAGGCCTGGCATACAGGCCTGGGGTGAAACACTGCAGCTGCAATCCCTGTAGAGAGTGTAGGGGACAGAACCACCCAGCTAGTCCAGGAGGAGAACATCTTGCCAGAGGGGCACAACAGGTTCACGCCCAAGGGAGGCAGCAGGAAGAGGCTGAGCACAGCAGCCAGACTCAAGCTAGGCACAGCTGGATAAATCCAAACTTTGTAGATCTGCACCTGAACTTCAGTAGGTGCTAAGGTTATAACTGCAACAAAGCTCTACAACAAAGGTC